GCCCCATGGGGGTTCCGTGTGCCCCATGGGGGGGCTCCGTGTGCCCCATGGGAGGGCTCCGTGTGCCCCATGGGGGTTCCGTGTGCCCCATGGGGGAGCTCCGAGTGCCCCATGGGGACTCCGTGTGCCCCATGGGGGTTCCTTGTGCCCCATGGGGGGGCTCCGTGTGCCCCATGGGGGTTCCTTGTGCCCCATGGGGGTTCCTTGTGCCCCATGGGGACTCCGTGTGCCCCATGGGGGGGCTCCGTGTGCCCCATGGGAGTTCCGTGTGCCCCATGGGGGTCTCAGCGTTACCCCCCCCCAGCCATGCGCCTCTCGGCCGTGCTGGCAGCGGCGCGGCTCCCCCCCGGTTACCGGCACGGGACGTGGCCCCCGGACACGGCGGCCGCGCGGCGCCGGAACCCGCCGGGGCAGCGGCGCCGCAGGGTCCTGGTGGAGCCCATCGACAGCGAGGAGTGGAAGGTGTTCCAGGGGGACACGGTGAGAGCACGGCCCCCTCCGTACTGCCCCCTTCCCCATCCCCGCTAACGGGGCCGTGCCCGTTGAGCCCCGGTTCTCCCCCTGCCGCAGGTGCAGGTGCTGAGCGGGAAGGACGCGGGGAAGCAGGCGATGGTCACCCAGGTCGTGCGCGCCCGCAACTGGGTGGTGGTGGAGGGGCTGAACACGGTGAGGATGGAGCTGGGTGCTTGGGGGGCGGACGGGACGGGCACAGGCTGGGGGTGCCGATGGTGACCCCCCCATCCCCATCGCCATGGCAGCACTACCGCTACATCGGCGGCACCTACATCGCGAGCGAGGCGCCGCTGCTGCTCAGCCAGATCACGCTGGTGGACCCTGAGGACCGGTAACGGGCACTGGTGGTGATGGGGGGGGGGGATGCTGTTGTGACCCCCCCCGTATTGAAGCTGCTCCTTGGTGCCAGGAAGCCCACGGAGGTGCAGTGGCGTTACACGGAGGAGGGCGAGCGCGTCCGCGTGTCCCTGCGCAGCGGCCGCATCATCCCCGTGCCGCTGCAGCCGCGCCGCGATGGCATCGTCCCCGAGCAGTGGATCGGTGCGTGGGGACAACGAGATGGGAGGGGACACACACACAGAGCATGGGGGGGGTCAACGCTGTCCCTTTGCACGCAGATGGCCCAAAGGACACGTCGGTGGAGGATGCGATGCAGAAGACATACGTGCCGTCCCTGAAGACCTTCGAGGAGGAGATCATGGATGCAATGGACATAGTGGAGACGCGCAGGGCTAAGAAATCCTACTGGTACTAAGTGGGGGGCACTGGACACCCCCCCTCCAAGCAATAAAGACCTCTCACTCTGCCCCATGGGGGGTTTATTGTGCCAGGGGGCTCTGTTCCTCTGGGGGGGACTCAGCTTCATCCTCGCTGCCATCCTCCTCCTCCAGCCCTGTGAGCACCGTGCCCAGGGGACAGCGCGCAGCCACCAGCACCAGGTTCCGGGGGGAGAACCGGGGGTCGAAGAGGGGCACGAGGGCGCAGTGGAAGCCTGTGGGGACACGGGGGGGCTCAGTGATGGCACCGGTGCCGGTGTCACCGTCCCCCCAGTGCCAGCGCCAGGCACCCACCGCGCTCGCGCAGGTAGAGCAGCCGGTCCAGGAGGATGAGGGTCTCCACCAGCGGCGCCAGCAGCAGCGTGAGGCTGAAGAAGGCCACGACCTTGTGCTGCTGCTCCAGCATGGTCCCGACGGCGTCCGAATCCAGCGGGATAGAGGCAGGATCCAGCCCCACACGGGGCAGCCCCAGACGGGCGTATCTGGGGGGGGGGGTACACAACACACACAATGAGGGCGGGAGAATGGACTGAAGGGGGTCCCACCAACCCCGAACTCACTGAGGGGCTGCCCCCACAACCCAAAGTCACTGGGGGACACTGGTGGGGCTCCCCCCCCAAACCCCACTGGGCACCCTTATTTGTGTGTCCCTCCCCCAAACCTCAGTGGGGACCCTTATTAGTGTGTGTGTCCCCCCAAGACCTCACTGGGGATCCTTATTGGTGTCCCCCCACCCCAAACTCAATGGGGACCCTTATTAGTGTGTGTGTGTCCCCAAGACCTCACTGGGGATCCTTATTGGTGTCCCCCCACCCCAAACTCAATGGGTGTGTGTGTCCCCACCCTTATTAGTGTGTGTGTGTCCCCAAGACCTCACTGAGGATCCTTATTAGTGTCCCCCCACCCCAAACCTCAGTGGGGACCCTTATTAGTGTGTGTGTGTCCCCAAGACCTCACTGGGGATCCTTATTTGTGTGTCCCCCCACCCCAAACTCACTGGGGATCCTTATTAGTGTGTGTCCCCACCCAAGACCTCACTGGGGACCCTTATTAGTGTCCCCCCACCCCAAACTCACTGGGGACCCTTATTAGTGCGTGTCCCCCCCCAGGACCTCACTGGGGACCCCTATTAGTGTGTGTTCCCCCCCCCAAGACCTCACTGGGGAGCACCCCGAGGGGGTTCCCCCCCCGTACTCACTGCGGGAAGCTGAGGGCATGCGCCTTCTTCACCGTCTGCACCCCCGGGCGCCGGAGGCCGGGCCGGGCCCCCCGGATGAGGGTCTCGAGCACAGCCCGGTAGCAATGAGCCCTGAGGCGGGGGCTGCCCCCCCCCGCCAGGCGGCCCCGGTACTGCTCCAGCGCGTGGCAGGCGCTCTCCCGCGCCCGGTACGAGAGCTCATGGCCCGGTAAGGCCGAGACCCAGGCGCTGAGCGGGTACCCGGGGGGGGTCGAGAGCTTCATGTAGCAGCAGCCGACGGAGGCCACGGCGGCCACCGAGGGGCTGCGGGCGAAGTGGCGCAGCAGCGCCGGGCTCAGGTCCCCGCAGGCGTGGAGCCCCGTTACCAGCACCCGCGCCCCGTCCGCGGCCCCCCCCGGGCCCCCCAAGGGGTTGCGGGCAGCGGGAGCGGGGGGGTCCGGGGGTAACAGGAACTCCCCCCAGGGCAGCGCCGGGTCCAAGCGGCCCGGGATGTGCTGGGGACCCCGGGGGGTGAGCGCGGAGCGGGGCTGGGGGGGGCCGCGGCGCCGGGGGGGGGGGGCGGCCCCCCCCGCTTTGTGCAGCTCCCGCAGCAGCTCCCAGTCGAAGCGCTCGGCGGCACCGGCCAAGCGGCCGTCGCCTTCCACCGCCGTCACCGAGAGCCCGAGGCCGAAGGCCAGGAACCGGGAGAGGTGGCCCTGGGGAAGGGATGGGGGGGGGGGCACACTCAGACAATGGGGACACAACGGAGCCCCCCCACACCCCCGTTCCTACCTGCCCCGCTCCGACGTCCACCACGCGCGTGCAGCCGGTGGCCTGGCTGAGGCGCTGCAGGAGCTGTGGGCACAGGAGGGTGATGGAGGGGGGGGTTTGGGGGGGTCACGGTGCAGGTTTTGGGGGGGGGGGGGTCCTCACCGTGCCCAGGCGCCGGATCTCGTGCTGCTTCTTGGGCTTGACGTGGCGGCGGAGCAGCGGGTGCAGGCGGCGGCTCTGGCACGGGGGGCGCGGGGCGGCACCGGGGGGGCCCCGCGGGAAGGAGAGGGCCCGGGCGGCGGCGGCGAAGGCCAAGAGGGAGAGGGGCCAGAGCGGCCCCGGGCCCCCCGGCTCCGGGCCCCCCAGGAGGCGGGCGAGATGGGGGGGGGCGGCGGAGCCCAGAGCTGTTTGCCACGGAGGGGGGAGCTGCGCCCACAGCCCCTCGGCGAAGAAATCCTGCAGGAGAGGGGGCAGTGGGAAAAGAGGGGGGGATATGGGGAGAATGGGGGATATGGAATGGGTATGGGGGGTATGGGGGGTGTGGGGGGTATAGGGGGGTATGGGGGGTATAGGGGGTATGGGGGGTATGGGGGGATATGGGGGGATGTGGGGGGTATGGGGTAGGGATGTGGGTAAGGGGGTATGGGATGGGTATGGGGGGGATATGGGATGGATATGGGGGGATATAGGATGTGTAAGGGGGGTATGGGATGGGTATGGGGGGTATGGGATGTGTATGGAGGGAATGGGATGGGTATGGGGGTACATGGGGTACATGGGATGTGTATGGGGGTACATGGGTTACATGGGATGTGTATGGGGGTACATGGGGGGATATGGGGGTACATGGGATGGGTACGGGGGTACATGGGATGGGTATGGGGGTACATGGGGGGATATGGGGGTACATGGGATGGGTATGGGGGTACATGGGTTACATGGGATGTGTATGGGGGTACATGGGGTACATGGGATGTGTATGGGGGTACATGGGGGGATATGGGGGTACATGGGGTACATGGGGGGATATGGGGGTACATGGGGTACATGGGATGTGTATGGGGGTACATGGGGTACATGGGATGCGCAGGGGGGGGTCACTCACGATGACGCAGGCGTCGAGCAGGGGCCGGTACAGGGACAGGAGCCGGACGATGTCGGCCGCTCGCTGCTGCTCCCACTGCAGGGTCCCGCGGGGGGAGGCGGCCATGGTGGAGCCCTGGCGGGAGGAGTGTGTGTGTGACGTCATCCGGGGGTGTGACGTCATCATGTGGTGTTACATCATCCTGGGCGTGTGATGTCATCCTGGGGCTATGACATCATCCTGGGGGTTCCCCTGTGGCTGTGATGTCATGCGGGGGGGGTGGTGTCCCCTTGGAGCTGTGATGTCACCCATGTGGCTGTGATGTCACCCCGGGGTGTTTCCCGGGACTCTGACGTCACCACTAGGGCTCTGACGTCATCCCCCCTCCCCCGGCTGTGAGCTAAGGCAGGCCCATGACATAACCGGGCAGTGACGTCACTGGGAATGCGGCTCCCTCGCTGTGACGTAACCAGACCGTGCCATTCCCCCATCTTCCCGTGGCCGTGACGTCATCACCGGGCATCCCCCCCCCCGGTCTGGTCAACGCCGTGACGTCACCCGAGACGTCACCGCCGCGCTCAGCCGCCGCGCCCCACTCACCGCCGCGCTCCAGCCGCGCTCCCGCCGCGCAGCGATACCGCGTCACTTCCGCCGCGCCGTTACCCCGCCTCCTTCCGGTGCCGCCGGTACCGGGGGGGGGCCGGGCCCCGTCCCGCGATGTCGGAGCTGATCCTCAACGTGCACGCGGCGCCCCCGGCGCGGCCCCGCGCGGCCCCGCGCGGCAACCGGAAGCACCGGCGCTTCCTGCGGCGGCGGCGCGCGGAGCGGCGGCGGGGCCCGAGCCGCGAACCGGAGCCCGCCCGCGCCTCGCCCAGCTCCGACCCCGGCGGGAGCGGCTCCCCGGAGCCCGCAGCGCCCCCCGGCGGCGCGGCGGAGGCGGCGGTGGTGGCCATCGACTGCGAGATGGTGGGCACGGGGCCCGGCGGGCGGCACAGCGCCCTGGCCCGCTGCAGCATCGTGGGCTACGGCGGGGCCGTGCTCTACGACCGCTACGTGCGGCCCGCGGCGCCCGTCGTGGACTTCCGCACCCGCTGGAGCGGGATCCGCCGGCACCACATGGCCCGCGCCGTCCCGTTCGTGGCGGCCAGGAAAGAGGTGCGGAAACGGCGGCGGGCGGCGGGAGGGGCTGGCACCGGGGCGGGGGGGGACAGCGCTGCATGGAGCACATCCATAGCACTGCGTGGTGAGCATGCATAGCGCTGCATGGAGTTCATCCATAGCGCTGCATGGAGCACATCCCTTTGGAGGGAGCAGTGCATCCATAGCACTGCGTGGAGCACATCCGTAGCACTGCATGGAGCACATGCATAGCGCTGCATGGTGAGCATGCATAGCACTGCATGGAGCTCATCCATAGCACTGCGTGGTGAGCATGCATAGCGCTGCATGGAGCTCATCCATAGCACTGCGTGGTGAGCATGCATAGCGCTGCATGGAGCTCATCCATAGCGCTGCATGGAGCACATCCATAGGACTGCGTGGTGAGCATCCATAGCACTGCGTGGAGCTCATCCATAGCACTGCGTGGTGAGCATGCATAGCGCTGCATGGAGCTCATCCATAGCGCTGCATGGAGCACATGCATAGCGCTGCATGGTGAGCATGCATAGCACTGCATGGAGCTCATCCATAGCACTGCGTGGTGAGCATGCATAGCGCTGCATGGAGCTTATCCATAGCACTGCGTGGTGAGCATGCATAGCACTGCATGGAGCTCATCCATAGCACTGCGTGGTGAGCATGCATAGCGCTGCGTGGAGCACATGCATAGCACTGCGTGGTGAGCATCCATAGCACTGCGTGGTGAGCATGCATAGCGCTGCATGGAGCTCATCCATAGCACTGCGTGGTGAGCATCCATAGCGCTGCATGGAGCTCATCCATAGCGCTGCGTGGTGAGCATCCATAGCGCTGCGTGGTGAGCATCCATTATCACTGCGTGGTGAGCATGCATAGCGCTGCATGGAGCTCATCCATAGCGCTGCATGGAGCTCATCCATAGCACTGCGTGGTGAGCATGCATAGCACTGCATGGAGCACATCCATAGCACTGTGTGGTGAGCATGCATAGCGCTGCATGGAGCTCATCCATAGCACTGCGTGGTGAGCATGCATAGCACTGCGTGGAGCTCATCCATAGCACTGCATGGTGAGCATGCATAGCGCTGCATGGAGTTCATCCATAGCGCTGCATGGAGCACATGCATAGCACTGCGTGGTGAGCATGCATAGCGCTGCATGGAGCTCATCCATAGCACTGCGTGGTGAGCATCCATAGCTCTGCATGGAGCACATGCATAGCGCTGCATGGAGCTCATCCATAGCGCTGCATGGAGCACATGCATAGCACTGCGTGGAGCACATCCATAGCACTGCGTGGTGAGCATGCATAGCGCTGCATGGAGCTCATCCATAGCACTGCGTGGAGCACATCCATAGCACTGCGTGGAGCGCATCCATAGCGCTGCATGGAGCACATCCATAGCGCTGCATGGAGCTCATCCATAGCACTGCATGGAGCACATCCATAGCACTGCGTGGTGAGCATCCATAGCACTGCGTGGAGCTCATCCATAGCACTGCGTGGAGCACATCCATAGCACTGCATGGAGCACATCCATAGCACTGCGTGGTGAGCATCCATAGCGCTGCATGGAGCTCATCCATAGCACTGCGTGGTGAGCATGCATAGCACTGCATGGAGCTCATCCATAGCGCTGCATGGAGCTCATCCATAGCACTGCATGGAGCACCTCCATAGCACTGCGTGGAGCACATCCATAGCGCTGCGTGGAGCTCATCCATAGCACTGCGTGGAGCACATCCATAGCACTGCGTGGAGCACATCCATAGCACTTGCGTGGTGAGCATCCATAGCGCTGCATGGAGCTCATCCATAGCACTGCGTGGAGCACATCCATAGCACTGCGTGGAGCACATCCATAGCACTGCGTGGAGCTCATCCATAGCACTGCATGGAGCACATCCCTTTGGAGGGAGCAGTGCATCCATAGCTCTGCATGCAGCACATGCATAGCACTGCATGGAGCACATGCATAGCACTGCGTGGTGAGCATCCATAGCACTGCATGGAGCACATCCCTATGGAGGGAGCAGTGCATCCATAGCTCTGCATGCAGCACATGCATAGCACTGCATGGAGCACATGCATAGCACTGTGTGGAGCTCATCCCTATGGAGGGAACAGTGCATCCATAGCACTGCGTGGAGCACATCCCTATGGACGGCAGCAGCACAGCCATAGCACTGCGTGGACTCTGTCCATAGCATTGCGCGGAGCGCATCCCTATGGAGGGAGCAGCGCATCCATAGTATTGTGAGGAGCGCATCCCTATGGAGGGAGCAGCACATCCGTAGCATTGCGTGGAGCGCATCCCTGCGGAGGGCAGCAGCAGCACATCCATAGGATTGCGTGGAGCGCATCCCTGCGGAGCGCAGCAGCAGCACATCCATAGCTTTGCGTGGAGCGCATCCCTGTGGAGCGCAGCAGTAGCGCATCCATAGGATTGCATGGAGCGCATCCCTGTGGAGCGCAGCAGTAGCGCATCCATAGCTTTGCGTGGAGCGCATCCCTGTGGAGCGCAGCATCCATAGGATTGCGTGGAGCGCATCCCTGCGGAGGGCAGCAGCAGCACATCCATAGGATTGGGTGGAGCGCATCCCTGCGGAGCGCAGCAGTAGCGCATCCATAGCTTTGCGTGGAGCGCATCCCTGTGGAGCGCAGCAGTAGCGCATCCATAGGATTGCATGGAGCGCATCCCTGTGGAGCGCAGCAGTAGCGCATCCATAGCTTTGCGTGGAGCGCATCCCTGTGGAGCGCAGCATCCATAGGATTGCGTGGAGCGCATCCCTGCGGAGGGCAGCAGCAGCACATCCATAGGATTGGGTGGAGCGCATCCCTGCGGAGCGCAGCAGTAGCGCATCCATAGGATTGCGTGGAGCGCATCCCTGTGGAGCGCAGCAGTAGCGCATCCATAGGATTGCGTGGAGCGCATCCCTGTGGAGGGCGGCGGCAGCGCATCCATGGCGTGAAGCTGCATTCATTGATCCCAACCCTGCTCCCGCAGATCCTGCGCATCCTCGCCGGGAAGCTCGTCGTGGGCCACGCCATCTACAACGACTTCAAGGCGCTCAAGTACTTCCACCCGCAGGCCCTCACCCGGGACACGTCCAAGATGCCGTTGTTGAACCGGAAAGGCGGCTTCCCGGAGAACGCCACCGTGTCCCTGAAGCGCCTGGCCAAGGAGCTGCTGCACAAGGACATCCAGGTATCCCTCAGGGAAGCTGGGGCTGTGCTCAGGGCCAGGCTGGATGGGGCTCGGAGCACCCTGCTCCAGTGGAAGATGCCCCTGCCCGTGGCTTTAAGCTGCCTTCATCCCACCCCTTTCCGTGATGGGTTTTGGGGGTGCTGGTGTCAGAGCAGTGACTCAAGCTGTGCTCCCCCCCCTGCTCTCTGTCCCCAACAGGTCGGGAAGAGCGGCCACTCCTCGGTGGAGGACGCCCGGACCACCATGGAGCTCTACAAGGTGGTGGAGGTGGAATGGGAGCAACACCTCCTGCTGACCCCCAAGCAGGAGTGAGCCCCCCCCGCCCCCCAGGTCCATCCTGCACCCCAAGAGGGGTCCTGGTGCCATTCCATCCATCCCTATGGACAACGGGTGGGAGCATGGAGCCGGGCACCGGCGTCCCTGTGCCCTGACGTGCCTTCTCATGCCACTCATGGTGTGACATCCTCCATCCGCCCCAGCGATGTGGGGCAGAGCTGGGGCCAGACTGTGCCCCCCGCAGGTGCTGGTAACACTGTCTGGGTGCCTCCGAGGGGGCTCTCCCTGCTCCACAGCCCCATTCCGTGTGGGAATCGGGCCCAGGGCAGGCTCCTTCCCATCTTGCACAACTACCTCTGCCAGGGGCAGGAAGCGCCCAAGGGTTCCGGGAGCTTTGGGTTCCATCTTCCTCATTGCACAAGGACCAGGACGAGCCTGGGCACGGGGGACCGGTGCCACCAGTGCCACCAGTGCCACCAGCACGTCCTTGGTGCTGCCTTCCGGTGTGGGGCTGCCCCCGGGGTGGGGGCTGGTTGGAACTGAGCTCGTTACAGCCCCGATCCCAATTAAACAGGAATGATTGAGGAGCCTTTGGTGCTGGAGACCATGAGGGGACCCCCAACCCGTGGGGGGGAGTGGGCAGTGGGGTGCCCCACACCAGGCTCTGTGCTGCTGGGTGAAGGAGGAGCAGTTCCCCCCCCCTCCACCTTGACAGCAGCCCTGTTCTCATGGGGACCCCCCCATTGTCACCCCCTTTCCCTACTTCAACCATGGGCTGCTGGACCCAAGGCTTGGGGATCCCTCCTGCATCCGTGTGGGACTGGGGGGGGGACGCAGCGATCCCAAGCATCCCATGGGATCCTGAGGGGTGCTTTGGGGGGGCAGCTCCCCCTTCCCAAAGCCTCCATGTGCGTGCACACCGGGAAGGGGTGGGAATGCCCCCGGCTCCCCGGGAAGGTGAGAGCATGGATGGGGAGCCGGAGCCTTTGTGTCTGGGCTGCCTTTGGAAGCCATTGGAGCCGAGTTTACGACCGGGCTTTGGAATGGCCGAGCCTTAAAGGAGCGGTTGCCTCCTCGGCAAGGAGGAGCCGGCGCCTGGGGGCACATGGGGAGGGGGGGGGTGTCCATGTGTGGGTCCCCCCCAGCCCCACGGCGGGGGCACATTGCCGGTGTCCGGTTGGGATCGGTTCCCGAGGGAGCCCCGCAGCTGGGATGGATTTGGAGGGCTTGGGGGGGGGAGCACGGGGGGATTCACCACCCCCCCCACACACACATCGGAGCCCCTCAGTTCAACGCAGTGGGGTTGGGGGGGTCCTGTCCCACGGAGGAGCTCGATTGACGCCGGCCCTGGTCCCCCCTATGAGGGGCAGGTGGGGGGTGACCCCCATTTGGGCTCTGCCTCGGGATTTCTGCGGTTTCCAAGGAATTTGAGGGGGGCGAAGCCTTTATCCGCCCTTCCCAGCAGAATCCCTTCCAGATGTGGGGCGGGGGGGGGTTCCCACCTCATCCCCTCCACCCCCTTCTCCAAATCCAGCTGGTTTTCCCCCAAATCCATGGCCCGGGGGGGCACCCCCTCCCCCATCCTTGGGGTGCCTCCCTCCCCGAGCCCCCCACCTCTCCCAGCCCCATTCCCTGCAGCAGCCGCTGTAGGTCGGGATCTGTCCGCTCTTTGTTGGGAATCCTGTTCTTCAGGGGATTAGGGACTCGCGACAAGCCAGGACTCGGCTCCTCAGCGGCGCCACCCCATGGAATGTGGGGGGCTCGGGGGGATGGGGGGGTGAAATGTGGGTCCGGGAGGGGGCGGCTTCACCCCGAAAGAGCAGCAGGAATCTGGCTCCTTCCATCTTGGAGCCACAAACTCCATGATCCCGGTGCCAGCCCCACGGGACCCCCAAATCCCCCCCCCCCAAACTGCATCGCGCATGGGCCAGGCACCTGCATGTGCCCCCCCCCCCCCCATTGAGGGGTGCATGGAGGTTATAGAGGGGTGCATTGAGACTGGAGGGGTGCGGGGTGGGGGGGGATGTGGGCAATGTGGGGGTGCAGACACTCAGGGGGGTTCTGGTCACTTTAAGGGGGGTTCGGGCACTTGGGGGGGTTCGGACACTTTAAGGGGGGTTCGGACACTTTGGGGGGCTCACGGTCACTTGAAGGGGGCTCGGACACTTTGGGGGGGTCACGGTCACTTTAAGGGGGCTCGGACACTTTGGGGGGGTCCCTCCCATTGCGGAGCCCCGCAGGTGAACGCGGAGCCCCCCTCCCATGGGGCCGGGGCCGGGGCCGGGGCCGGGGGCGGAGCGGGCGGGACCTGCCCGGCAATAAAACGGGCGGCGCCGGGACCGGAGCGCGGCGGGGTCGCTGGTGCCGTCGGTGCGCGCTCGGTGGCCCCCGTTCCGGTCCCCCCCCCTCTCTTTGTACCCCCCCCCCCCCATCGCGCGGCCCCGGCCCCGGCCCCGCGATGCCGAACTTCTCCGGGACCTGGAGGATGAAAAGCTCGGAGAACTTCGAGGAGCTCCTGAAGGCGCTGGGTGAGTGCGAGCCCCGGGGGGTCCTGCCCCACATCTCCCCTCCAGCGCTGGGGGGGGGCCCCCTTGTTCCCACCCAAAGCCCATCGGGGAAACTGAGGCACGGGGGGGTGCACCCCCCACCTCCGTATCCCCACCATCGCACCCAAGGGGACCCCGCTCTGTGCGGAGCCCCCATCCTAAGTCGGCTCCCCCCTGCCCCACACTGTGAGGGGGGCCCCACGGCTGAGGGGGGAGGGGGGGGAGGAGCGGGGGGCCCCGGGGCTGTGGGCAGGGTCGTCCCCCCCCCCCCCCGCCGCAGGAGCCGGAGCCGGATTTGTTCCAGGTTAGGGGATCCGGAGCGAATATTTCAGGATAATTATCACTTTCTTGGGTTTCATTCCCCCGCCCCCCCCCCCCCGGTTCCTCCTCATCCCCCCCGAGCCCCACCGGGGGGAACCGCAGCAGGGAAAGCGATCTGCGACCGGCGGCTCCTCCCGCCCCACCGCGGGCCTGGGGAGGGGGGCTCCGGGGCCCCCCATGGTGCAGGCGGCTGGAGGAGAGTGGGGGGGACACGACAGAGCTCCGGAGCCCCCCATCTGCCTGCACCCCCCCCGCAATAAACGGGCTTTGCTCCTTCGGGTGCCTTCTTCTCCCCTTGAGCATCACGGAGGGGACCCCCAAGTGTGGGTCAGACCCCCCCGCCCCGCTCAGCAGCAGCATCCCCACGGTCCCGGCCATGGGGACCCCCCATCCCGCTGCCCCCCCATGGCCGTGCGGGGGGAGCCCCGCTCCGAGGGCCCCTCCGTCGGGGCTGAGCGGGGCCCAGCGCGGGCAGTGATGGATGAGGCGCCCGCGGCAGCGCGGACAAAGCCGCAGCTGCTCTTTGGGGGGGGCTCCCCCCACGGGGTCACCGGGGGCCGTGTCCCCGCCGTCACCCCTGCCCGGGGGACCCCCTTCACCCCCCCCCATCCCCATCCCATCACCCTCATCCCTTCCCTGGGGCGCATCCGGAGCCAGGTAACGAGAGCCAGATGTGGCCGAGCCAGATGCGGCTCTGCGGGGCCGGGGTCCCCCTGAGGCCCCCCCAGGACCCCCCCCATCAATGGGGACGTCTCCCCCCTCCCCATTGCCCGCAGGGGTTAACGTGATGCTGAGGAAGATCGCGGTGGCGGCGGCCTCCAAGCCCGCGGTGGAGATCAGGCAGGAGGGGGAGAGCTTCTACATCAAGACCTGGACCACGGTGCGGACCACGGAGATCAGCTTCAGCATCGGGCAGGAGTTCGAGGAGCAGACGGTGGACGGGCGGCCCTGCAAGGTGCGGCGCCCACACGCATCCACATGCATCCACACGCATCCACACGCGTCCACACGCGTCCACACGCATGGCACACGTGTGTGGCGGCAGGGCAGGAGCGCTCGTGTGCGCGCTCCTAACACGTGCATGGGTGGGCTAGCATCATGTGTGCACATGCCTTGCACGTGGGGGCACATACATGCATCTGCACACACGTGCCTGCACCCTGGTGCAAGTGCCCCCCTGTTCATGCATGCACACGCGTGTTCGTGCACACGCAGCCCCGCGCTCCCTCTTGTCCGGGGGGATGGTTCCTCCCCCTTCCCTGTGCCCCCCCTCCATGGGTATCCCAGACACTGTTGGGGGCAGGAGCAAATGTCCCCGTCCATGTCCCCATCCCCATCCGGGTCCCCATCTGTGTCCCCATTCCCATCCCTGTCCGTGTCCCCATCCCCATCCAGGCCCCATTTGTGTCCTCATCCACACCCCCATTCCCCAATCACATTCCCATCCATGTCACCATCCCCATCTGTGTCCCCATTCCCCATCCCCATCCCCGTTTGCGTCCCCATCCCCATCCAGGCCCTATCTGTGACCCCATCCACATCCCCATTCCGAATCCACGTCGCCATCCCTATCTGTGTCCCCATTCCCCATCCCCATCCCCGTTTGCGTCCCCATCCCCATCCAGGCCCCATCTGTGACCCCATCCACATCCCCATTCCCCATCACATCCCCATCCGTGTCCCCATCCCCATCCAGGCTCCATCTGTGTCCCCATCCCCATTCCCCATCCCCATCCCCATTCCCCATTCACATCCCCATCCATGTTGCCATCCCCATCCAGGTCCCATCCATGTCCCCATCCCCATCCTCATTCCCCATCCCCATCCCCATTCCCCACCCACCTCCCAGCCCACTGACGGATGTTGCACCCTGTGTGGGGGTGCTATGGGGGTGTCTCGGGGGTGTCCCCCCCACATTGTCCCCTGTGCAGAGCTTGGCCAAGTGGGCGAGTGAGAACAAAATGGTTTGCGAGCAGCGGCTGCTCCGGGGCGAGGGGCCCCGGACGGGCTGGTCCAGGGAGCTGACCAACGACGGGGAGCTCATCCTGGTGAGCATCCCTGCCCCGGGGCATGATGGGAAACTCCCTTTGGGGCTCTCTGTGTATGTCGGGGGGGGTCCCATCCATCACCTGCTCCTCATTGCAGACCATGACGGCCGACGACGTCGTCTGCACCAGGGTCTACGTCCGGGAGTGATGCCACCGCACCGGTGTCCCCATATCCCCCCCCCCATGTCCCCTTCACCCCCCATAGCCACGGGGGGTGCATCTTCCCATGGGGGCCCCTCAGAAGCCTCCTTGTCTCACTGCAGCCAAAGCACCCGGGTGGAGGGGGGGATTTGGGCTGATTTTAGGCAGTTTTGGTTCACTTGGATGTGTTGGATTTGGACACAGCCCCTGTGCCCCCCCCCCCCCCAAGTATTTATTGTCACTGATGTGGCTCCAGGCGGTGGCTCCATGGTCACAGAGCACCAGGGCCAGGCCCCCCCCCCGGTCCAAACCCCCCAGGACCATCCCTGCCCCTTCCCTCTGCTGCCCAATAAACATCCTTTGCCCCATCCCCATGTCCTGATATCCCCATATCCCAATATCCCCATATCCCAATATCCCCATGTCCCAATATCCCCATGTCCTGATATCCCCATGTACTGATGTCCCAATATCCCCGTGTCCCAATATCCCCATATCCCAATATCCCCATGTCCTGATATACCCATATCCCGATATCCCCATATCCCAATATCCCCATATCCCAACATCCCCATGTCCCGATGTCCTCATATCCCAACATCCCCATGTCCCGATGTCCCCATATCCCAACATCCCCATGTCCTGATGTCCCCATATCCCAATATCCCCCTGTCCCAACATCCCCATATCCCGATGTCCCCATGTCCCGATGTCCTCATATCCCAACATCCCCGTGTCCCGATGTCCCCATGTCCCGCTCCTGCTGCCACACGCCCGATCCTTGCGCAAGGGCCCCCAGGCAAAGGCAGTGGCCGCGTTGGCACATCCCAGCGTGGGAAGCAAGGGGGCAGCGGTGGGGCAGCCATGGGGCAGCGATGGGGGGGGCACTTCCCCCGCCCCCAGCAGCAGGAAGGCTGTAATTACACCTTCCCTGGGGAGGAGGAGGAGGGGAGGATGAAGGCTCCGGTGTCTCCAGGTGGGCGCTCGGCGTCACCATTCCCGGACCATGTCCCGGCTTTCCCAGCATCCAACCGGGACCATGGGGGGGGGTGTCAATGGACCTGGATCCAACACCAAACCTGCCCCCCCGGTAATGGAAACCCAGCCCCCCCCCCCGCAATCCCACAATGGATGTTCCCCCCCATTGGAATATCCGCGTTCTCCTTGGCGGCCCGAGGCACGGCTCCGATTCGTGTCGGGGGGGGGGAACCCAGAGCTGGAAGTGGGGGGGGGCCATGGGGGTCCCATCCTGCTCTGTCCCCATCCCAGCGGAGCCGAATTCCAGCTGGGAAAGGGGGGGGGGGTCACGGAGACCCCAGCGCCAAGGGGGTGCTTGGGAATGCTCTGGAATGCCGCCCCCCCCCCCCGCTCAGTGGTTTCGGTGCTCCCGGCGCCTCTCGGCCGGCCCCGGTGACCTGCGGGGGGCCCCGGCTGCCCCCCGGGGTGGGGAGGGGGCCCCTCGGCTTTCAGGGGCGAGACAAAGCGGGGCCGGGGCCGGGAATGCGCCGGGAGGGAAGGGGAGGAGGCGGCGGGGGGGGGGGCCGCGCTCCAATGGGGATGGGGATGGGGATGGGGATGGGGATGGCGATGGGGATGGGGATGGGGATGGGGATGGGGATGGGGATGGGGATGGCGATGGGGATGGCGATGGATGCGGATGTGGAGGGGGATGGGGATGGCGATGGGGATTGGGATGGGGATGGGGATGGGGATGGGGATGGGGATGGGGATGGGGATGGGGTTGGGGGGGATGAAGGTGGGGATGGGGATGGGGATGGGGATGGGGATGGGGATGGGGATGGGGATGGGGATGGGGATGGGGATGGGAACAGGGATGGAGACTGGGATGGGAACAGGGATAGGGATGGGGATGGGGATGGGGATGGGGATGGGGATGGGGATGGCGATGGGGATGGCGATGGGGATGGCGATGGGGATGGGGATGGCAATGGGGATGGGGATGGGGATGGGGATGGGGATGGGGATGGCGATGGGGATGGGGATGGGGATGGCGATGGGGATGGGGATGGGGATGGGGATGGGGATGGCGATGGGGATGGCGATGGGGATGGGGATGGGGATGGGGATGGCGATCGGGATGGCGATGGGGATGGGGATGGGGATGGGGATGGGGATGGCGATGGCGATGGGGATGGCGATGGGGATGGGGATGGGGATGGCGATGGGGGTGGCGATGGGGGTGGCGATGGGGATGGGGATGGGGATGGCGATGGGGATGGCGATGGGGATGGGGATGGGGATGGGGATGGGGATGGGGATGGCGATGGCGATGGCGATGGCGATGGGGATGGGGATGGGGATGGGGATGGCGATGGGGATGGCGATGGGGATGGGGATGGGGATGGCGATGGGGATGGCGATGGGGATAGGGATGGGGATGGGGATGGCGATGGGGATGGCGATGGGGATGGGGATGGCGATGGGGATGGGGGGGCTGGAACATCCCCCCCAGCCCTGCGGCCATCGCTGGAGCCAGCGGGGGGTCCGCGGGGATGCGCAGGGGGGGACACAGAGGGGAACCCCCCCCCACAGCCCCCACCGGGGGGGGAGCGTGCCGGGGGGTGGATGGGGACGGGGACGGGGATGGGGACGGGACATGGATAGGGATGGGATGGGGACATGGATGGGGATGGGGACATGGATGGGGATAGGACACGGATGGGGATGGGACATGGATGAGGAGGGGACATGGATGGGGATGGGACGTGGATGGGGACATGGATGAGGAGGGGACATGGATAGGGATGGGACATGGATGAGGAGGGCACATGGATGAGGATGGGACATGGATGAGGAGGGCACATGGATGAGGATGGGACATGGATAGGGATGGGATGGGGACATGGATGGGGATAGGATATGGATGGGGACATGGATGGGGATGGGACATGGATGGGGATGGGACATGGATGAAGATGAGACATGGATGGGGATAGGACATGGATGGGGATGGGACATGGATGAGGATGGGATACGGATGGTGATGGAGACATGGATGGGGATAGGACATGGATGGGGATGGGACATGGATGAGGATGGGATACGGATGGGGATGGAGACATGGATGGGGCTATGAATGCCCCCAGGACTTGCTGGGCAGGTTTAGGGGGAACATCCCCCTTTTCCAGGCTGGAATGGGGGGTCCTGGTTTGGGGGGGGGTAGGGATGATCCATGGGGATGGGGGTCCTGGTGATGGGCTTAGGAGGTGCCAGCTTTGGGAAGGGGCACCCCTGGTGTCACAGGGCACCGGTGGCAAAGGGCAGAGAGACTGGCTTGGGGGGGGGGGCAAACCCACTGGTGGTGACCCCATTGCTGTGGGGTGACCCCATTGCTGCGGGTGCCCCCAGGGCAGCCCAGGACGCGGGTGATGAGCCCCATAACGTGCGGTCACCTCTGGGAGGGGACACGTGGAGGGGGGAACGTTGCCACCCCCCCCACAGGGTGTGGGTTCACCCCGAGGGCTGTGGGGCACCCCCCACCCCCCCCCCAAGCTGGCCAATGGCCACCATTGTTCCCGCTCTCCTCCTCCATCCACATCGGAGCCAAACCCTTCCCTAAGCTCCAGTATGGACCTGGGGGGGGGGGGGTTCAGCTGCAGCCCCCCCCGTACTTCACCCCCAGTATGTCCCGTACCTGGCTCTGCCCCACAGCGGGGTCCCCAGTGGGGCGGAGGGGATGGGGGCAGCTCAGGTTATGGGGCCCAGCCCAGCCCCTGCTGCTCCCCAGCAGGGAAACTGAGGCACGCCCCGGCCACGGAGCCAGGGAATCCATGGGGAAGCCGCAGGGATCCGGCACCACGCAGCCGCTCCACTCGGGATTTGCTTTTAATGCCAAGTACAAAGTGTGCCCCCTCCCCCCCCCCAACCCCCCCCCGACAACGACAACAGAGAAAAAATGCTTAAAATTCCTCTACAAAATAAATTAAAGGGACGGGGCCCCCCCAAAAGCCCCTTTTTGTGTGCAAAGAGACCCGAACACCCCCCCCCCCCATCGCTCCCAGGCTCCAGCAAGGACAGAAACGGGCAAAGCAAAGGCCCTGTGCGGGCCCCACGGCGCTGTGGGGCAGTGTGGGGCTGAGCGGGGCAGTTCAAGTCCTCCCCCCCAAGGGGGGGTTTTGCGCCAGCATCAATGGGGAAACTGAGGCAGAGGGGGTGAGGGTCCGTCCCCCCCCCCCCCCTTGTCCATGGGCATCCCCATAGAGGAAGGGCTTGGGGCGGGGGGCAAGGGAGGTGAAGTGCTGTCCAATGGTGAGCTATGTACATCCCTGAAGGTGACGGCTCCCAGAGCCCCCTCCCTGCCCCATAGCGCCCCCAAGCCCCGGCTACGAGGTCTGGCACTGGACGTGCTGGCGGCTCCCGTCGTCGAAGTCCTCGTCGTGGGGGGGGTCCCCGGGGAAGGGCCTGCGGCCCGGCCCCCCCTGGTCCCGGTAATCGCTGAGCTCCACCTCCTCCGTGTCCTCCGTGGCCATCACCTCCTCCTGCGGTGGGAAGAAGGCCTGGAGCTGGCGCAGGCGCTCGGGGGGGAGCCAGCCGGGATCCGGGAACTTCACCTGGGAATGGGATGGGAAAGGGGGGGGATGAGCACTGGAGAGGGGGGGGGGGGACGAGCAGGGATGTGTGGGGCGGCCCCGGCCCCGAAGCCTCACCTGGAACTGCAGGATGAGCTTCCCCTTCTGGAAGGGGCTCCTGTAGACCGGCATCCCCTCGTTGGGGACGCACTTGAGGTCTCCGGGCCGGATCACGTCCCCTGGGAGGGAGAGGGGGGTCACCCCACAGCGCCCTCGCAGGGGGTCCCAGTGCACCCTGATCCCCATCCCAGCCTCACAGGGGGGTCCCAGTGCACCCTGATCCCCATCCCAGCCTCACAGGGGGGTCCCAGTGCACCCTGATCCCCATCCCAGCCTCACAGGGGGGTCCCAGTGCACCCTCCTCCCAGTGCACCCTGATCCCCATCCCAACCTCACAGGGGGGTCCCAGTGCACCCTGATCCCCATCCCAACCTCACAGGGGAGGTCCCAGAGCATCCTGATCCCAGCTTCCTTCCAGGGGGGTCCCAGTGCACCCTGATCCCCATCCCAGCCTCACAGGGGTGTCCCAGTGCACCCTGATCCCCATCCAAGCCTCACAGGGGGGTCCCAGAGCATCCTGATCCCCATCCCAACCTCACAGGGGGGTCCCAGAGCATCCTGATCCCCATCCCAACCTCACAGGGGGGTCCCAGAGCATCCTGATCCCAGCTTCCTTCCAGGGGTGTCCCAGTGCATCCTGATCCCCATCCCAGCCTCACAGGGGTGTCCCAGTGCATCCCAGTCCCAAACCCAGCCCTCTTCCATGGGTGTCCCAGTGCATCCCAATCCCAGCCTCCTCGCAGGGGTGTCCCACTGCATCCCAATCTCAGCTCCCTCACAGGGGGGTCCCACTGCATCCCAGTCTCAATCACAGCCCCCTTGTAAGAGTGTCCCAGTGCATCCTGATCCCAATCTCAGCCTCCTCACAGGAGGGTCCCAGTGCATCCCAATCCCAATCCCAGCCTCCTCGCAGGGGTGTCCCACTGCATCCCAGTCTCAATCACAGCCCCCTTGTAAGAGTGTCCCAGTGCATCCCAATCCCAATCCCAGCCTCCTTGCAGGAGTGTCCCACTGCATCCCAGTCTCAATCACAGCCCCCTTGCAGGAGTGTCCCAATGCATCCTGTTCCCAACCCCAGCCTCCTCACAGGGGTGTCCCAGTGCATCTCGGTCCCAATCTCAGCTCCCTTACAGGGGTGTCCCAGTGCACCCCAGTCCCAATCCCAGCTCCCTCACAGGGGTGTCCCAATGCATCCCAACCCCAGCCTCCTCACAGGGGTGTCCCAATGCATCCCAACCCCAGCCTCCTCACAGGGGTGTCCCAATGCATTCCGCTCCCAACCCCAGCCTCCTCACAAGGGTGTCCCATTGCATCAGGAGTGTCCCAGTGCATCCCGGTCCCAATCCCAGCTCCCTCCCAGGGGTGTTCCAATGCATCCCAATCTCAGCTCCCTCCCAGGGTTGTTCCACTGCATCCCGGTCCCAATCCCAGCCTCCTCGCAGGGGTGTCCCACTGCATCCCATTCTCAACCACAGTCCCCTCCCAGGGTTGTTCCACTGCATCCCGGTCCCAATCCCAGCTCCCTCACAGGGTTGTTCCACTGCATCCCGGTCCCAATCCCAGCCTCCTCACAAGGGTGTCCCACTGCATCCCACTCCAATCACAGTCCCCTCACAGGGCTGTTCCACTGCATCCCGGTCCCAATCCCAGCTCCCTCCCGGGGATGTCCCAGTGCATCCCGACCCCATTCCCACCTGGCTGGGAGGCCAGGAGCAGGCTCCTGTTGTCCAGGGTGCGGATGACCTGGCGGCAGCCGCACAGTGCATCGGCCAGGCTGATCTCCCTGCGCACGATGAGGTCGTCGCCGCTGCGCCGGAACACGGGATGCTCCTTCTGGTCCAGGACAATGATGATGTCCCCGGGCTCCAGCCCCGGCACCTGGTCCCCTTCCTCATGGAACGTGATCTTCTGCCCGTCCTTCATGCCTGCGGGACGGGGAAGAGGAGCTCAGTGGTGGGGTGGAACCCATGGAAGGGGGTCCCCCCCCCATGGCCCCATCCCACCTTTATCCAGGTGGACGCTGAGGATCTTCTTCTCCCTGACCACCTTGCGGCCGTTGCAGGCGAGGCAGCAATCCCGAGGCCGGATCCACTCGCCCTGGCCCTGGCACTGGGAACACACGGTCTGGATCTGCTGGATCATGCTGGGCCCCAGCTGATGGATCCGCACCTCCATGCCCGAGCCGTGGCACTTGGGGCACCTCCTCTGGGCGCCCTCCCGCACCCCACAGCCTGCGGGGAGGGATGGGGAAGGGTGAGGAGGGGGCTGCGGTGCTGGGGACCCCCCCACACTGCCCTGGGTACCCTAATGCTCACCTCCACACTTCCTGCAGATGATGTTCTTCTGCAAGGACAGCTTCCTCGTGGTGCCGTTGTAGAGGTCCTCCAGGGACACGGAGAGCTGGTGCACCACGGTCTTCCCTGCGCGGAAACCGGGCTCAGCCATCCCGGCCAGCCCCCGTGCTCCGTGGGGCACGGAGCTTCCCTCCATCCCCTGTGCTCCGTGGGGCACGGAGCTTCCCTTCATCCCCCATGGTCCACAGGGCACGGAGCTTCCCTCCATCCCCCGTGCTCCGTGGGGCACGGAGCTTCCCTCCATCCCCCGTGCTCCGTGGGGCACGGAGCTTCCCTCCATCCCCCGTGCTCCGTGGGGCACGGAGCTTCCCTGCATCCCCCATGCTCCGTGGGGCACGGAGCTTCCCTCCATCCCCCGTGCTCCGTGGGGCATCCCCCGTGCTCCGTGGGGCACGGAGCTTCCCTCCATCCCCCGTGCTCCGTGGGGCACGGAGCTTCCCTCCATCCCCCGTGCTCCGTGGGGCACGGAGCTTCCCTCCATCCCCCATGGTCCACGGGGCACGGAGCTTCCCTGCATCCCTTCGCCTCCAAAGGGATCCGGGATGGACGCGGGGCTCCCGCCCAGCACCCTCCCCATCCACAGCCTCCCTTTAATTGCCCCCGCTATTAAATCGTGCCACAAGCAGGGCATGGCCACGGCCTCACCCTCGCGCCGTGACCCAGGCCAAAAGCACGCCAGGAGTCACCCGAGCGGCTCCGCACGCCCTGAGCCTGCCCCAAGCAGCCCAGGGCAGCGCCGGGGCTGAGTCAGCCCCAAGCCCCGGGGCCAGCGGGGGAAAGCCGGGGCCCAAGCCAGGGAAGGGCCCTTTGAAGAGGGGGCAGAGGGAGAAAGTCATCAAGGGCTCAGGAGGGAGGCGTCGGGCTCAGCCCAAGGAGCCCATTCCTGCTGCCCCCTCCCCTCCCCAAAAGGGGGTCCCGCTGGTGCTGGTACCTCTCCTGTCGCCCCGGCCACGCATCCGCACCCCCCCTCCGAAGAAGAAGTCGAAGATGTCCATGGGGGAGCCGAAGCCGGCGCTGCCCCCGCGGCTGCCCAAGCCCCCTTCCTTCATGGCGCGCTCCCCGCCGCGGTCGTAGAGCGCCCGTTTGTGGGTGTCCGAGAGCACCTCGTAGGCTTGGGAGATCTGCTTGAACTGGGGGGGAAACGGGGGTCAGGTGGGGGGGAATGGGGTGAGATGGGAAAGTGGGGTGAGATGGGGGAAATGGGGTCAGATGGGAGGGAAAGTTGGGTAAGATGGGGCAAAGTGGGGCAAGATGGGGGCAAAGTGGGGCAAGATGGGAGGGGAAGTTGGGTAAGATGGGGCAAAGTGGGGCAAGATGGGGGCAGAGGGAGTGGGGCAAAGTGGGGCAAGATGGGGGCAAAGGGGGCAAGTTTGGGTAAGATGGGGCAAAGTGGGGCGAGAAGGGGGAAATGGGGCGAGATGGGGGAAATGGGGTGAGACGAGAGGGAAAGTTGGGTAAGATGGGGCAAAGTGGGGCAAGATGGGGAAATGGGGTCAGATGGGAGGGAAAGTTGGGTAAGATGGGGCAAAGTGGGGCGAGATGGGGGAAATGGGGTGAGACGAGAGGGAAAGTTGGGTAAGATGGGGCAAAGTGGGGTGAGATGAGAGGGAAATGGGGTGAGATGAGGGGGAAACGGGGTGAGAAGAGGGAAATGGGGTGAGATGAGGAGAAAGTGGGGTGAGATGAGGGGGAAATGGGGTGAGATGACGGGGAAAGTGGGGTGAGATGGGTGAGAAATGGGGTGAGATGGAGAGGAATGGGTTCAGATGGGAGGGAAAGTGGGGTGAGATGGGTGAGAAATGGGGTGAGAAGGGGGGAAAGTGTGGGGGGAATGGGATGAAATGAGGGGGAAATGGGGGTCAAAACGGGGTGCGATGGGGGGGGAAGCGCCGCACGCACCCGCTCGCCCTCGCTCGGGTTCTTGTCGGGGTGGTAGCGCAGCGCCAGGCGCCGGTACGCCCGCTTGATCTCGTCCAGCGTGGCCGCGGGCCGCACGCCCAGCAGGTCGTAGTAACCGGTTTCCTTCACCATGGTCCCGGCCGAGCTGCGCGGGGACAGAGCCGCCACATCCCCCTCGCACCCCGCTGCGGGACGGGGTCATCGCACGGGATGGGATGGGACGGAACCGAACCGGGGACCCCCCCTCCGGGCACCCCCGAGCGCGGACACGGGGCCGGTTCCCCCCCTCCCTCCCTCCCTCCCTCCCCAAGAGCACCGGGGCCGCCGCAGGCCGGGTCGGGTCGGGGCAGCCGGGCCGCGGTGCTGACAGCGCCCGAGGACCCCGGGACGGGCCCGGCCGCTGCTGCCCCGGGTCCGCCGGTACCGGAGCGGGGACCGGGGGGGAACCGGGGGGGAACCGGGGGGCACCGGGCCGGGGCCGCCATCACTCACCGCCGCTCCGCTCCCGTCTCCGAACTCTCTGGAAGCCGGGGCCACGCCCCCCGCGCTCCCCATTGGCTGCGGACCGCCTCCTGAGCCCCTCCCTCCGCGCTCATTGGCTGTGAGCCGCCTCCTGCCCGCCTCTATTGGCCGCGCCTCCCTCAGCTGTCAACCCCGAGGCCGGCTTTCATTGGTTCCCGGCTGTTCCGGGATGAGGAACGCGATTGGCTGTGATATACTGCCGGGTCCGCCTCCTCGGCAAGGCGCCTCTTTCATTGGCTAGAAGGAAGAGGCCAATCAGGGAAAGGAGTGCGAGTGCCGAGCGCTGCGGACGGCCCGCAGGGGGCGCCATAGTGCGCGGTGCGGGAGGCGCAGGCGCCCGGTCGCGATAGGGGCCGGTCGCGATGGGGGCCGGTCGCGATAGGGGCCGGGGCCGGTCACGATAGGGGCCGGTCGCGATAGTGGCCGGTCGCGATGGGGGCCGGTCGCTATGTGGGCCGGTCGCGATAGGGGCCGGTCGCTATCTGGGCCGGTCGCGATAGGGACCGGGGCCGGTCGCCATAGGGGCCGGTCGCGATAGTGGCTGGTCGCTATGTGGGCCGGTCGCGATAGTGGCCGGTCGCGATGGGGGCCGGTTGCTATGTGGGCCGGTCGCCATAGTGGCCGGTCGCGATGTGGGCCGGTCGCTATGTGGGCTGGTCGCGATAGGGGCCGGTCGCGATAGGGGCCGGTTGCGATAGGGGCCGGTCGCTATGTAGGCCGGTCGCCATAGGGGCCGGTCGCGATAGTGGCTGGTCGCTATGTGGGCCGGTCGCGATAGGGGCCGGTCGCGACAGGGGCCAGTCGCGATAGGGGCCGGGGCCGGTCGCGATAGTGGCTGGTCGCGATGAGGGCCGGTCGCGATAGAGGCCGGTCGCGATAGGCGCCGGTAGCGATGGGGGCCGGTCCCGATAGGGGCCGGTAGCGATGGGGGCCGGTCTCGATGGGGGCCGGTCGCGATAGGGGCCCGTCCGACCCCAAAGGGCGCGGGGGTGGGCAGCAAGAAGAGTTTTGGGGGGCTCCATGTCCTCTATCTGGGGGGGGGCAGCAGCAGGGAGGGGTTTGGGGGGTCCATGGAGGAGGAGGAGGAGAAGGAGGGGTCCCATGGACCTGGAGGTGACCCCGAAACCCAAGCCCGGCAGTTGTCGCCCCGATGGGGTTTCAGGGACCCCCCCCGCCCGCAGCTGGAATGTGGTCGGGATTCCTGGAGATCTTCCACCCTGATGGATGGGCAAGGGCTGGCGTGGGGTCGGCAAACTGGGAATGGGGCCCCCGAACTGGGAATGTGGTCCCTGAACTGGGAATGGGGACATTGAAATGGGAATGGGGACATTGAAATGGGAATGGAGATTCTGAACTGGGAATGGGGACATTGAAATGGGAATGGGGCCCCCGAACTGGGAATGGGGGCACTGAACTGGGAATGGGGACATTGAAATGGGAATGGGGACATTGAACCGGGAATGGGGACATTGAAATGGGAATGGGGCCCCCGAACTGGGAATGGGGCCCCCGAACTGGGAATGGGGTCCCAGAACTGGGAATGGGGGCACTGAACTGGGAATGGGGACATTGAACTGGGAATGGGGCCCCTGAACTGGGAATGGGGACACTGAACAGGGAATGGGGCCCCCGAACTGGGAATGGGGGCACTGAACTGGGAATGGGGCCCCCGAACTGCGCAGGACGCTCTGGAGCCTCGTCCCCTTCTGAAGCCGGACCCAGCCCCAGCTGCGGGGGTGCCTCAGGACCGGCCCTGCTCACATCCTGTCCCCACATCCTGCACCGTCCCCAACCCCCGTGGCACCAGCCGGGATCTGAGGGGGGTTTCCCTGCGTGTCCATGGATCCGGGGGGCGGGGGCACATCCCTGTTTGTCCCGGTGCCACCTGCATGCGGACAGCGGCAATTCCAGGAGGAAGGAAAGGAGCCGCTTCGTCAGCGGCGTGTCCGGAGCTGAGTCACCTCCTGCCCCTGCTGCCCCCGCCCCGGTGTCCCATAGGTGGGTGCCGTGGGGTCCCGTTGTTGCCTCAGCCGCTTTCCTTTTGGGGCTGGATGAGAAGGGAAACTGAGGCACGGCGCTGGCACTTGCGTGCGTTGGGATCCGGCCGAGCTGCTTCCCACGCTGCATCCCTCTTCCCATCCCATTCCCACCCCACTTAATGACGGGTGGCTCATCCCGCACTGAGCCGCATCCTGCGCCCTGTTTATGGGTGCTGGGGGTGCGTAAACAGGGAGGGAGCATCGCTTCATGGAGACGGGAGAGTGGTCCCAGGGGTTTCATTGCCATGGGGATGGGATGCGATGGGATGTGGTGGGATGCAGTGGGATGTGGAGGGATACAGTGGGATATGATGGGATGTGGTGGGATGTGGTGGGATGAGGTGGGATGCGATGGGATGTGGTGGGATGTGGTGGGATGAGGTGGGACGCGATGGGATGTGGTGGGATGAGGTGGGACGCAATGGGATGTGGTGGGATGAGGTGGGATGCGATGGGATGTGGTGGGATGAGGTGGGACGCGATGGGATGTGGTGGGATGAGGTGGGACGCTATGGGATGTGGTGGGATGAGGTGGGACGCGATGGGATGTGGTGGGATGAGGTGGGACGCTATGGGATGTGGTGGGATGAGGTGGGATGCGATGGGATGTGGTGGGATGAGGTGGGATGCGATGGGATGTGATGGGATGCGATGGGATGTGGTGGGATGTGGTGTGGGACGTGATGGGATGTGGTGGGATGAGGTGGGACGTGATGGGATGTGGTGGGATGAGGTGGGACGCGATGGGATGTGGTGGGATGAGGTGGGATGTGATGGGATGTGATGGGATGCGATGGGATGTGGTGGGATGTGGTGTGGGACGCGATGGGATGTGGTGGGATGAGGTGGGACGCAATGGGATGCGATGGGATGCAATGGGATGAGGTGGGATGTGGTGGGACACAATGAGACACGATGGGATGCGATGGGATGTGATGGGATGAGGTGGGACACGATGGGATGGGATGGGATGAGGTGGGACACGATGGGATGCGATGGGACACGATGGGGGAGCATCGCCCCCGGGCCCCCTCCACCCTCCCCGCCGCTGACGGACGGCTCCAGACGCACATTCCCGGCGGGATCCAGCCGCGGGGCTCGGCCTCAGGCATCCGCGATTGCCCCGGGTTGGCAGCAGCTGCCGGGGGGGGGGACAGGCCCCAGCAGCTGAATGAGCCCCAAAACCGGGCCAAGAGCTTAATATAGAGACCGGAGCTATTCCGGGGGGTCTGACCCGGGTGAAGGGCGAGCCGGGGGGGGGAACGGATGGGAATGGGGATGGGACCCCCACATCCTTGCGCTGGAGTGGGGCTGGGGACCAGGGGGGGTCACCACAGGGGACAGCCCATAGAGACCCCTTGGTGGCCCCAGCGCGGCTCCTGCTCGCCCCCCCCCAAGGGGCTCGCTGTGGGGAGGGGGCTGCCCCGGCCCCTGCGCTGTATTTTTAGTCCTTTCCTTATAAGGTTCCCAGGAGTTTTTGGGAGCCGGGAGCGGGATGAAGTCATCGCTGAGGTCATCCCAACCCCCCCCCCCCAAGCCCTCACCCCATAGGGAGGTTTTGTGGTGGCTCCATTCAAATCCCACTCTCGCCAAACAAGCCCCTCCCGGCTGCGGGGGGCCGCGATGGGGTGGGGAGGGGGGGGTCTTAAAGCAGCAGCCCCACAGCCCCCCCCCACCATGGCTGGACTCCCCCCATAGCCCTGTGCCTGCTGTGGTTTGGTGGCTCCTGGTCTGCAGTGGCGGGGGGGGGGACAGGACATGGGAGGGATGTAGGTGCCCTGTGTCCCATTGGCACACGTTTGGTCCCATCGGGACACACTTGGTCCTGTTGGGAACACGCTTGGAACACGCTATGGAGATGCTCGGTCCCATCAGGGGGCACCTGGTTCCATCAGGGACGTGCTTGGTCCCACCATGGCCACGCTCATCACTGGGACATGCTTGGTCCCATCATGGCCATGCTTGATCCCATCAGGGCACACTTGGACCAGTTTGGGACCCGCTTTGTCCCACTGACAGTGTCCCATTTGGGACACTGGGGTCTGCGAACCCACCCCGCCGGGTGCCCCATAGCCCTGGGCAGCCTCATCCCATCCTCCTCCTCCTCCTCCTCCTCCTCCTCCTCCTCCCCTCCACCATCTGTGCCCCCTCGTCGCTTTGTCAGCACCGGCTGGAATGTGGATTCATTTCATTAGGAATGTGTCCCCCCCCCTCCTTCCCAGCCTTGGGAATCTCCTCATGCATCCATGCATCCATCCGCTGCCATCACCGGGCAGCTTTAGGGGTGACACTGGGGAAGGTGGGGGGGAACCGGAGCTGCCATTGGGCTGATGCTGCCCAGGCTGATCCCGGCCTCGGCGCCTGCTCCAGCTCATCCCAGAGCTTGTGTTTGATTTCATCCCGGTGCTTGGATCTGCTGGAGTTTCACCTTAAAAGGAAACCATCACCCTCGGGCTTGGGGGGGGCCCGGGGGCTTCCCATGAGGAAAGGCAGAGCCATGGTGGGTCCTTATCGCTCCCCGGCTCCCAGCATCCCGGTGCTGGCACGGGCTGCATCCGGAGTGTGGGTGAGCCATGGGGCCAGGCAGGCGGGCACCCGAGGGGCGATGCTGAGCGCACCCATCAGCACCAGTGGGTGCTGCCGGTCTTGTCCCCTTGCCCAGGGTGACTCAGCCCTTTGCCCAGGATAAAGGAGCCCATTCTGTGCCCAGAGGCTGATTCATGCAGCGCCGTCCCCACGCCTGCTCACACAAAGGTCATTGAACCCCCCCCCCCCCGCCCCGGGCTCTGCTCAGCCCCATCCTGAGGCTCAGCATCCTTTGGGAAAAGGGGCACAGATGCATCAGGGTCCCATCGGGGTGATGGGGGCCCCAGTGTGGTGCTCTGGGGTCCCGGTCCCAAGGGCATTCTGCCTGATCCAGGCAGGAATAGGGGCTGGGTTTGCTGGCTCATGGCTGGAGGCGCTGGCGCTGGGATGGGGTGGGCTGGAATCCCGTCCCGCTCCCGCCCAGGCAGAGGTCTTTCCCTGGCTGATCC